TCACTTATCGAGTTAAATTCTTCATCTTTATCATTTCTCTTATCGAGTAAGATTTGACCCTTGCATGTTCATCCAGTAAAGAAAATTACCTGATATGCACTTACCATATAAACGTTTAATAAATAACCCCTAAATAACCAATATAATGGTAGTATAAAAACGTTAATAAGGTTTTTTTTTTTGAAGTATTTTATACATTTATAAATATTATACTTATTGAATTTAATATGGTTTTGTAAAGTATTTAATTATTTATTAAATATTTAATATGTTTTTTTATAATACTTAATAAAAGCATAGTAGTAGAAAGATATGATATCATCATGTCATTTATAAATGGTAACCTATGAGAAGTTTTTTGTAACACCTCAAGATCACATTTGCATATTTATATCAAGAAATATAATTTTACACATTCTGTCTCAATATCTACAAAGACTACATTACAACGTAGCTAACAACTTTTTCCATAAATCTCTATAGTACACATGAATACATAACAATTATACAGTTACAAAAGAAGATTATGCTAGCCCCAAAATTACATGCAAGCATAATATAACATTTCACAATTTCCCCTTTCTCTTGTCATGTGGTTGTGCATGACCTATAATGCACATTTTTAAACACAAAATGAGGGATGAACCTTAAGTTCTAGTGAAAAATAACTTTGATACAATAACCGGATGAATAATCAACAAATCACATTTTTGAACTCATATTTGTAACAAAAAACAAATATACATTTATTTGATATAACATACCTTATTTATCGTATCAAAATAATCAAATTATTTAATAAACACAATTTTAATCAACTTGTCGTATCATATGGGTCCTCGCATGACACAATAAGATAATCCTATTTTTCCTCGCAACACACTGGTGCGAGGTCCACAATCATATGAACACTATAAATCCAATCTTGTCGCATCATTATCATGCGATAAACCAATGTGTCGCATCTTTAAATCTCACTTCTCGTATCAAAGGAATGCGATAACCACAATTCATCACATCATACATATGCGATAACTCTATATATTAAGATACAAGATGAACAACAACAGATTATCCAGACAATGACACAAAATCAACTTCTCTAATTTCCCTTTTAGGTTTCTGTTTTTTGATTTTAATCGGACATCATAAAAACATTATATTGTTCATAGATTAGAAGGGTATCTAAATTACAATCAAGTAAAGTAGAAAATATTATCCATTCAACTTAATGCTATCAGTTCACTACTAATGATGATAATAAGTCAAATAAGTAATTTTAGATGAAAGTTTCAAAAGGAAAACGTGGTACAGTTACTGAAGAGATATATATCATGTATTAGATAAATGTTAAACAAGAAATGCTGTTAGATTTGAGATTCTCGTTATAAAAATTGTATCTATTGTGGATGAGGGAGAGGTAGGGAGTTGGAAGATAAGATGGTGATACATTATAGATGGAGTTATGGTCTGTGTACATCTTACGTTTTCCAGATCCTACTTCCAGGTCCTATTTTCGCCCCCAAGAGTTGTGATGCACGCTGAGTCTATTTTGACATCTTTGTCAACAAATTGGAATTCTCAGTTTTTTTTTCTAGAACGAAAACACCTTATTACGAGAATCTATATGCAACAAAAGGATTAAAGTTTTCACTTGAAGTACGACCTAGGTCATTGGTGAGGTTTTTGATGCGACAAAATTTAATAAAGATTTTGTTGTTTTTCAATCAATCATGAAACATGCCTGAAGATATGCTTTATTGGAATGCAAGCTTTTTTCATAGAAGTTTCCACTTCTCCAACGCCTTTGTATTCTATCTTTCACACTGACTAAGGGGGCGTTTACCTAAACACTTACTCTGCAAACACTTACCGGTAAAATTCAACACTATCGCTTACTTACCGGGTAAGATTTTATTCACTAAAACACATCATATGCAACAATTTATCCTGGTAAGCGCTAATCATGGTAAGAGTCTTCGTCCTCACTTAACGGGTAAGACTCTTGATTCTTGTCTTCGCTCTTACCGGATATGATTTTTAGTCCTTGCCATATTCATCTGGTAAAATAAAAGTGACTTGGCAAGCGCTTACCCGGTTAAGCGTTTGGTAAACGGCACCTAAGATGTACAATGCACTTTTATTTTTTAAGTATTTATTCCTTTAGTTCGAAAAACTTGATTAATGGGTCTTCAGGTTTTGTCTAATCTGTTGGCGATATTGTATGACGATACATTTGGAAGTACAAGTGACCCTAGGTTATATTGTCGGCCGTGTCAATGTTGATCATGTATAATTTTACCTAGAAAGGTGTTTCATTATTACTCATGTGAAAGCCAACAGCGTCCATGGGAGCAACTATCTACTTCTGTATTTTGTAGTCCATGATATACAACAATTTCACTGTGTTCTTGTAATTTCTTTTAGACTATACCTAAGTTTTTGTAAAAAAAAACATAACCATTTAAAGAATGAAAATAAGAAAAGTAGTCATAATGAAAATAAGATAAACGATTAATGTTAGATGAAGTCCATTTACAAGCACGTACTAAGCGAGAAATGTTTTCAATTTCGTAACTGAAGAATATTTCTCAACGACAACAGGGTTCACTGCATACCACAAAACATTTGGACTGTGAATAGGAAGAGCCTAGTTTTGGCCTCGTCGTCGTCATCCATGATTTCAATTCCATTATCAAATTAAACCTCTTCTTGAACATCGGATTACCATTTATATTCGCGTACAATTTTGTTAGACACTCATCATGTTCATAGGTATGCTATTTAGAGACATGTGGTACAATGGACTCCTTTTCCCTTGGCTTGTTAATATCATAACTAACAATTATCGATGAACTACAACGTTCTTTTTTTCTGGTTTTGCAGAACTCTTGTTGTGGTTTCGGTAATCCATATGTAATTACCGACGGATATAAATAAAAAATAAAATTCAAGTTGTTTTATATCCGTCAGTAATTACTTATGGATTACCGAGACCACAACAAGAGTTCAAGTTAGGGGGGTATACATGATTTTTTTTCTTCCTTAAAATACAATTTATATATTTTTTGATAATATAAATAAAAAATAAAAATCAAGTTATTTATATGGTGAAGAAACCAGAATAAAAGGGGGAAAAGTTGAAAGCAAAGCATAGTGGTGTTTCTATCTTAAAACCTAACCATAAAGAAAGGGTCAAAGGTTATTGAAATCAATAATGAGTAGCACAACCACCCTTTTTTCACTCTTTTTTTTTTAAATGAATCAATTTCATTCTATTCATATTAAATAAACAAATTTTAATAAAATCAATTAAAAAGAAATGAGTAAAAAGGTTAAAATTTGGCATCTGTTTTGTTAACAAGTTTTTATGAAACATGACTAGTTTATTAATCTATAACTAGTTTTTTAACTGATAGCAATTTTGGCAAACTTAACCAAATAAATCACTGTTGTTGTAAACATTGGGATAAAAATGTTAAAATTTTTAAAGTGCATGGTCGTTCTTAATCGAAAGCAGTTATATTGACTAAGATCGTAGGGGAATGGGAAGACGACTCACAAATTTGAATGGGGTCACTTGGGTATAGACATTGCAAAACAAATGTGATCTTAACCCAAAAAAATCACACATGGAAATTTTTGTTGGTGAATACCGATGGATCACTCAGAAAATACCAATGGTTCGGTAGAACCCGATGTTTTTCGAGAAAATGTCAATGGATAATCCAGAGAATCTCAGGGTAATCTGTCATTGATATGAATTACTCACCAACAATTTAGTCATCAACTTTTGTGACGGCTTTGTGGTGAATCACCTTTTAGTGACAAATTTCACAAGGAAAAGTATGTAGGCAAAAGTTTTTCATTTAGTAGTGAGAAGCTATGGTTTTTACTGTGCATATACACACGCATACCTAATACCATTTGACTATAAAAACATATATATGAATATTTCAAAATTATCATTGGTCTGTGGGTTAGTTCCATATTTTTTGTATGTGGGGTCATGTGTTGGAACCTTTTATCGATTTCTTTTTGAAACATAATAAATCTGAAATTAAAAGATAAAAAACAAGAAAATGAAACCAATGAGATTTAAACCTGCACACGGGATCGGAGAAAAGTTGTACAAACCAACTCTACCAAGGAAACTTGTATTATCCTTGCAGTTTCAAAATATATATGATTGAAAATGATATGATGACACTTCTCATGACACTAATTTTGTTTTTCAATACAATGAAGGAACGAAGCGATGGCCCATGCCACCATATTCACTAGAGTTGGGGCACCCATGTGTGCATGGCTCACTGGCCTTAGCCGGAACATACTCTCTAATTGGTAAGGGGTATACAAGTGAGTGGTTATCTTTCAATGTAAAAATGTATCGATTCAACGAATGCAACATTTTTCTTATGATTCTCTTATTTACTTACGATTACAAGACATATATATTCTTGTAGCAATACAACCCATAAACCCTTAACAAAAACGAAAAAAAAAATTAACAAGTTCTCTAACAATCTTGCATCTGTGAATGCAAGATTGTTAGAGAATACCGTTACTATAATTCAAAAAATAACATCAATTCATGTTAAAACGAATGACCAAATATAATGATTTGTTTTTTGATGAAAATATAAATATAATGGTTAAGATTTTTATTCCGTAAATTTATGTAATATTCGAACCTTGAGAGGTAGCTTAGCTGATAATACATTTTAATTTGATAAACTTGTACAAATATTACGATTTTCAAGAAAAATAAAATAATACATGAAAAATTGATAAGTATTTGATTTTAAAATCAATTTTATTATTGAGTTTAAGTAAATTAATTTAATCGTAAAAATGATTATAGAACAGGGAAAAGATAAAAGCCATGAACCCAAGCGTGCGATTCGCACGTATCAAAAACACATTGATGTCAATTCGTTTGTCTATATAGTCTCTCTCATCCCCCGTGCACTCTCTCTCTACCTTTCTCACATCCCGCTGTTCTTCCCGTGCTGTGCCTACTTTTTTTCATCAGATTGTCTCAATCTTCTTTCTGGGTTTTCAAGATTATCCAATTTGGGATTTGGGTTTTCGATTCTTGCAGGTAATTTCTCTCCATTTTCGATCATTTTCATCACCATTCACACGGTGTTTTTGTGTGTTTCCGTCACATTTGATTCATTTCCCTTCTTGTTTCTGGGTTTCGAAGATTATTCAAATTTGGATTTTTAATTCTTCATGTTCAATATTATCTCATTTTCTTGTTTTCAGATGAATGTTTACTCTGTTTTCGTGTGTTCCATCGTAATTTTCTCAGTTTTGATATGATTCCTCTCTGGTTTCTGGGGTTTGAATTCTATCGATTTCACCGTTTCCAGATGAACATTCACTGTGTGTTTCATTTATTTTTTTTTATTACTTTTTTTACTCAGATTTCTCTGAAACTCCATGTTTGATTTTTGGGTTTTGAAGATCATTCATTTTGGGATTAGGGTTTCTTAGGCCTCTGCATTTTCCGTTTTTGAAATTGATGTTTTTTGTCTGTTCTTCCCTCATTTTTCTTTTACCTTTGTAAGATTGAATGTTTTCATTGCTTGTGTATAAAGTGAATGATGATTTTCTCCCTTTTTTCAGCTAAGTTATAACACAATTTAGAACCCTAATCATATTCAAATTTCCTGTTTTTCTCTATGAAAATATTTAGAAAATATGTTGAAATTTAACCTATATATGCTACCAATTTCACAGAAATACAAGATTTTCTTCATTAATGTCCTTTTGTTCAGAGAATTCTTAATCATTTGGGTTGATAACCATAGTTTGTTCCCAATATTTCCCCAAACAAACAAAAACCCAAAAATTCCTACAAAATAACAGCAGAAAATCAAAAAAAGGCATTGAAAACATGTTTACATTTCTGTCGAAAAAGATTGAAAAACAGGATAAAAACACAATCAATTTCAAAGCTCAAATTGGTCGTTTATGTTGTTTATAGGTCTTCATGTTTACCATTTCTTGCTCATATGTAACTTTTAGGAACTTTTGCTTTGATTATTACTTAATTGTGTTTTTGTATCTAATATGCATCTTCTTGTCATGTTTCTACAGGCAGTTTTGACGTTTCAAACAGCTTCTAACGAACGCAAATCAGTAACGTTAATTATCTCATTATAAAGAGCATGCGGTGGTGTAGCTTATCAGTAGACGTTTATCGTAAAATCATATCCCTCAACCTCTATTGTCGTGTGATTCTGTAAAACGTATTGAATCTTTATTAATTTACTTCACAAACCTTCTTGATATTTCACTTTTAGCAAACTATTTGATTCCTGTCAGTTCCATCCATGGGAACTAATCTTTTTGTTGTCATCCCCTGCTACTGTCGTTGGATTAGCTGAACCTGCATCGATCAAATTCCATTTGAGTTTTAATTCGATCAAATTGAATCTTTTCATCCTGTTTGACCACCCTCTTTAATAATATTTCTTGGGTTATTTTCTTGGTATTTCAGTTGAAGTTGAATCTTTTCATCCTGTTTGATCACCTTCTTTGAGAATCTTTCTTGGGTTATTTTCTTGGTATTTGAATTGAAGTTGAATCTTTTCATCCTGTTTGATCACCCTCTTTGAGAATCTTTCTTGGGTTATTTTCTTCTTAGAAAATATTTTCTTTAGTGAATCTTTCTTGGGTTATTATCTTGGATTGTTATTGAGATCTTTAGGGGAGTTAAATTAAATACAAAGGTAGGGAAGAAGTAGTTATGGTGTGTCAATCAGCTGGCCAAACAAGATTTCGGGCTTTGAAACATGAAAATGGAACCGCTGGGGGTGCCACCATAATCGTAAAAGTTATAGCATGCTTCCAACCTCTCCAAGATTGTCAGGTTCGTTATAACCGTATTTTGGTTTAATATTGTTATTATCATCATCAGAATCAATCTTTATTTGAAGAATTGGATTCTTAATAACTTTATGATGTTCATGCTTGTCTTTGAATCATATTCGGCTTTACGACCTGTTTGATGTTGGTGATGATTGGGACAATCTGAATCTAATACGGTCTTTCTGTTGGCTTGCTTTTCTTTTTCAGGCCGAATATTTCCGCCATTTGCTTAAACCTGTAACGTAGCTCTATTTTTCTTTTCGCGAACAAATTAAGCTCTGGACTTTTTAGGTTTAATCTTTTTTAGAAGTTTTCAGAAATCTTTACGCACGCCCACGTGATAGTTCATCACCCGGTGAGTTTTCTGATGTTCAAATTGCTACTTTACTACAAAAGTCGGAATCTTTTGCATTTGATCGTACTTTGTTGATGTTTCACTTCCTTTACAGGTGATTCTTTGGCTAAATGGAAAAGGGTTTTGAATCTTGGTTTCAAAACCAGCAAATTGATTGGCAATCACCCAATCCGAATTCATCTAGTGCCCCAATCGGTTTAGGGCCTCGAGTTACTATCCCGTCTATGGTTTCTCCGAAGGCAAGTGTGCGCCAAGAACCGTGTGGTTGGTTCTACGGCTTGCCTCGCTACCGCCAGGGTTTCATCCCTGCGGTTAACTCAAAACTCCCTGTAGCAAGCCCCAATGATGTTGGAGCAGCAGAGAAGAAGTTTCTTGTGTTTGATCAATCCGGTGATCAAACAATGTTGATTTATAGTTCGGGTGTCGGAATCGCTCCGATCCGCCACCACTTTCCTCCCTCGGATAACCCAAAATTGCAATCTGGATCACATCCACTTCATGTTGATGAATGTATCAAAGAGAATGATGGAGATGATTCTAGAAGCGAGATGCGAGAGGATACTGAAGAGCTTAATGCGTTGCTTTACTCTGATGATGATGATAATGATGATGATGATGAAAATGAAGAGATGAGTACCGGGCATTCCCCTGGTTCAGTGACGGGGTTCGTTGAACAAAAAAGGAAAAATTGCGAAGAAGAGGAAGCTGAGAGTTCGTTTGGACCCACAAAAAGGTGTAAACGAGAGGAGGGGGTTAATATTGTAAATTCACTTGAGGACACTGCAAGCTCAGGAAAATCTGGTATTAACTGCTTGGGCAATGGCGGAAATGGAGAGTTTGAGGAAGAGTCTAATGATTTTTCGGCTGGTAACAGGAGGGTGAGAAAAGAGAAGTTGAAGGAGACTTTAAGTCTGCTTCAGAATCTGATTCCTGGTGGTAAAAATGACAGAAATGCCATTGTGGTTATTGATGAAGCTATCCATTACTTGAGAAGTTTGAAGGTAAAAGCTAAATCTTTGGGGCTTGATTCTCTTTAAAGAGGTTAAAGATGGTTTTGTACATTATGTTATTTATATTGTAGTACTGATTGAAGGGGTAATTTGGTAAATTTGATGTGGGGATGGGATGAAGATCAAGAACTGGGCTTAAAACTTGTAGCTTTGTGAAGATAGGGTTTGGAAGCCATCAGGGGATCCTCAAGTGATTTCTTGAATGATGGATGATATGATGATTTTGTGGAAATTACAGTGTGTATGTATGTGTAGGGATAATCTGGTCATTTTGATGTAGTCTTGTGATGAAAGACCAAGACTTGGGCGTAAAGATGAATGATGGATGGTGATCATGTCTGAAAAGTATTGTGTCAGGGAGAAATTGGTAATCTGGATGTGAGGTTGTAGGGAGAGTTTGGTAATTTTGTTTATGTGGGGTTGTGATGATCAAGAGTTTGGGTATAAAGTTGAAAGAGGTTTGGGAAGAGAAAAGTTTGATTTTGAATGATGGATGATGATGATTTTTGTGAATAAACCATGTGTGTGGAGGGGCAATCTGGTAATTTTACATGTGGGGGTTGGGATGAAGAGCAAGAATTGGTAAAAGCTTTGTGCTTGGTTGGGACCCATGGTGATTTTGTCTTGTTTTCTGGTTGGTGATACTGGTTATTTCACTGTTGAAGCTTGTGTCCTCTTCTCAACATCAATGTAGGACCGCCACCGCCACCGCCGCCCTCACTGCCGCCCCGACAGTGGGCGGTAGCGACGGCCTTAGGTGATAGTTTAAAAAAGATATGAAGTGGTTTTGTCATTGGTTTAATTGTGTAATTGTGGCATTATATATATATATATATACTCTTATATATGTATGGTGTTTGTAGGTGTGTTTTTATCTGCATTGATGGTATTACTAAAAAAGATGCATTGTAAAATCTGATAGCAAGCATTTAAATAATGTTTCTAAGACATTTTGTTGGATTAAAAATCAATCATTCAATTCTAACATACTTATGGAAAAGGAAGTCAGAAATACCCTTCATATAAGTTAGTTTATTGCTTACTAAATAGAAATTTTTTAATAATTTTAAAAAATAAACCAGTTTATGGTTGTGAAAAATGGTGTCCGAGCCAATTTCTGATTCGGTGGATCTTGATTGACAAATAAAACGAAACCTCTCAGATGCTCAAATGGTCTATGAATTGATCCGATTTTTAGGGAATCAATGATATTAATGATCATCGAAACTACGATCTACTTTGACTTGTACTCTTGAAATAATTTTGAAAAATGACTCTTTAGACTTGAATTTTGAAGTGAAACTATATCAATAATTAGTTAAAATGAAGTTGACCCTATAATAAAGTAAAATTTTGAAATGTATATCAGTGAATTGAATTTAAACTTAGAAGTAAATTTAGGATGACTCTGCAGACTTGTATTTTTTAAATGACTCTGAAGTATAACTCTGAAGAATGACTTCAGACTTATACTYTTGAAATAACTCTGAAGTAAAACTCTTCAGACTTCAGAGCTCTGTATAAGCAAGCCAGAAGCTCTGCATGCACCATGCAAAGGCTCTACCTAGTGCTCCGTCTGGAAAAGAAAACTTCAGAGTTCGGGTGAGCTAACTCTGAAAATGACTCTTCAGACTTGTATTCTTGAAATAACTCTGAAATAAAACTTTGAAGAATGACTCTTTAGATTTGTACTTTTGAAATAACTCTGAAATAAAACTCTGAAGAACGACTCTTCATTCAGACTTGTACTCTCTAAAGTTCAGACTTCTAAGTCTGAAAAAGAAGACTTCAAACTTCTTTTTCTGAACCTTCACAGTGTCTTACCTTCAAAGGCGTCTTGTTATGAGGTTTCAAGTGTAAAAAAAATGGTATCACAGGTCTCACAAAAACATGTTGGTCTCACATGAGCCCAAGTCTCTCTCTCTCTCTATATATATATATATATATGTGTGTGTGTGTGTGTGTGTGTAGGTATATATATATATATATATATATATATATACTATCTTATAAAGCATTTGGCTAAAACTCTTAAAAACTCTTAAAACTCCTAAACCCGTTCATCCTTATCCGATTTCATCCCATATCTTAATTCGTGTAACTAACTGCAGATAAACACAATCAAATACAGGATAAACATCTCATTTTAAATATAAAAAATCCAAAATATAATTAGTATAATCTTTAACTTCTAACAGAATACTTAATTATTATCATTATAAAATTTATAATATTAAACCTTATTATTAAACTTAAATTAAATTATATAAAAAAATTATATTCTATATTATAAATCATTTGACAAAAACTTTTAAAAACTATTTTTTATGTGTAAAGTACTGTTTATTAATGCATATTACTTAAAACTCAAGATTACAAGTAAATTGTGCGTAGGTACAACTTATTAAAGCTCCATATATGAATTCATGTAACTAACTGCTAATAAACACAATCAAATACAAGATAAACATCTCATTTTAAATATAAAAAATCTAAAATATAATTAGGATAATCATTGAGTTATAACATAATACTTAATTATTATTTTTATAAAA